GCTACTGTCCACCCCTGGCCGCAGCGACTGCCGCGTAAGTGGCCATGACAGACAGTGACTGTCAGGAGTAGGTCCAGCACCTCCAGCTCCTACAGCGCCAGCAGCTCCAGCAGCTCCACGACCTCTAAGGGATGACCCCTACACAACCTAGAGTGAAATAGACATAACTCCATGTTTTGACAGCATAGAGCCACCGTAGCGGGAACGTGTTTGTAGAAAGAACAAGATAGAAAACTTGTATTGGAAACGGATTGAGAATTGATTGATATTGGGGAATACAAGCAAGGTTGATATAGCATGCAGGATCTAATGATGGAAAGTACTTCGTGGGACTAGAAAGTAGAAGCAAGAAAAGTAGAGTGTCAGGTGGCACAAGGAAATCAAGGAGGATAAGGATAAGGGTGAGTTGGAAAGTACTGTTCAAAGGGAACAGTAAATCCCCCCCCTTATCATGGAGGCTACACTAAAACCAAACAGCACTGGTATACAGTATTTGTTATACTGTATTCGGTTTTCCAAAAGGTGACAAGTGTGCTTTATTGTTGGAAGGTATGGAGAAAATGAGTAATACCTACCCACAATTGTTGTTGTGGTTCACACACTGCCCCTGTTTGAGTTCAATCGAAGTGTGTGGAGTAATGAATAACCAAACAGTTATTGCAAAATGCTGTCACATAACGAATGAGGGCATAGGCAAGATACACCTAGCTAAGTATAAATATATGTGTACACTATGTTGCTGTAATGGTTTGGCAATAAATGCTTTCAAAGTGTGAGGATGCCTGTATGCGCTGGCGAGCCGCGATATGACGCGACACCAAATGTTGTACATTTACAGTTTGGTGTGTCGATTGCTCGCGCCCCGACAACTATTGCGCGGCTCGTTAGGATTTGAAAATCCTGAAACAACTTGAACATGGGTCACATGAAATTTGATTGGTTCAAGCATGACTGGGGCAAGGAGCGAGAAACTGTACCCACGTTTCACACTCTCATGCCATTTCCTCCCAAATTTCGTCACCTCACGAAAATGCTCGATTGGCAACGCTGATACTGTAGGGGTTGGTGGTGGTGGTTCCTTACTAAAGGCGAATCGTGATGCGAGGGAACTATGCGCCAGCTCTGGTCTGGCAATTTACTCCAAGCGTGAAGCGAAGGCTCCTCTGAGCGATTGTTCATAAACATTGCTCCGTATGTCAGAGACACGAGTATCACACAGTAAAACGTACGGTCGCAACCGCGTCGTCGCTATCAGGTGCACACTAGTACAGCGAGGCAGCAGCCATTGAGCAGAGCACCCTTCCTTACTGACGCCATGTGCATTGCAGTATTCAGGGTACACGACAGCGAGTCCATCGCGTGTGCTTTGCACAAGTCAGCATAGACCGAGCCAACTCATCACGGTCATAACGACGCTAACTCCAATCTTCACGTGACAGTCTAGCGAATCATACGTTGGAGATCCATCGATCCCAATGGCACAGCCAGCCAGCGTGACAGCGCCCGGCCGTTGGAACGGACAGGTGCCACCATCCAGCTTGAACGTGGTGCTCCACCAACGCTACGCTGGATCGAATATCACATGGGAGCACCATCGATGCACGCCGCCCCCAGTAGTAGCTGCGCCAACATCAGCGCAATCGACGCTCGATCGCCGTACGGGAAGGAGGCGGCGCCTCGCCGCCTCCGGCCTCCCTCTCCTCCTTTTTCGTTCTCCCTCGCGCTGCCTTCTCGCGCTTCCGCTCTAGCGGGTCTCTCGCACTTTCTTGTAACCCACGTAGTTATCGAATAGTAGACTACTGAAGCAGTAGTACATCACGGTGATGTGTTAAAGATCCCCAAACCTTCACTCACAGCCACCGAACTCGAGTCTTGTTCTGCCTTATTTGCTCTCGTCTAGCATCAACGCCTCTACTGCCTGCGATAGCACTGCTCTACGACGACCAGCACTGCTCTGCGACGCCCAGCACTTCTCTGCGACATTACTAGCACTGCTCTGCCTGCGACGGCCGGCACAGCTACCATGGAGCGCCCAACTCTCGTCTGCGTGTTGCTCTGTAAGCAATGCCTTTCATTCCGAGTCGTGGTCATGATGATCGCCGGTCCGCTGCTGCTTCAGAGAGTTCCCGTCAGAACAGTCAGTGCGGCGCTCACTGGCCCCGAGTGGGTCCGTGGCTAAATGTGGCACTGAGTTTCTCTCCGTTGCCTCTTGCCGTCACAACAGTCATTGCCGTTTACGTGGTACTCCTATGGACGCCGCCAGTTCGTGTCGTCGTTTAGCGTTCGCCCCTTCTCATGCTCTCGTGCTGCCTGCCTGCCTGCGTGCCTGCCTGTGCAGGTGCGACACTCTTCACTGCCTATGGCGCGTCGGCCTCATCATTCCTCCCTCACGATGCGGGAGCAACTGCCGTTTCTGTCCCTACTGCCACTTCGCCTTCCTCTGCCCTCAAAGCCAGGCGTCTGCACGAGGAGGGAGTAATATTGAGTAAGTGAGTGTAGCGCTTGCTGCTACCACTGGTACTATTCTCATCGTCACTCATAATTGGAACGGCAGCAGTGCCAGAGACGCGCAGATACGCGCTTGCTGCTACCACTGCTGCTATGGCTCCTTACAGTGAGAGGCGTCTCACAAGCAGCCTGTTGACTGATCTGTCCCTCCATTGACTTTTTCCCCTGTCTGCCCAGCTTTTCGAGGCGTCTCACAAGCAGCCCGTTGACTGATCTATCCCCTCCATTCACCTTTTTCCGTCTGCCCGGTTCCTGCCATTCCCGCTTTTTAGCAAGATTCGTTAGCACCTTGCGTCCTACCAAGATCGATGGGAAAGTGGTCGGCGATAAAGGTGCTCTGGCTAAAGTCATTATGAAGGCAGTGAGGTACGGAGTGCGTCCTTTCACTTGCTCTTCACTTGTTCTGGAACGAGGCTTACTATATCATATTTTTGTGGCGCATGGAAAGGTGAATTGTGTCCCATTAATTGTTTGTTCCAACACGATTTTCACCAGCAGTGAGATAGAAGTGTGTGTGCTGCTCACTCAATCTGACATACTGTAACCTGTGGCTGTGGAATCACCGTGACCCGCAGACGGCACACAGTTTGTGCTCGTGCTCTCAAACCCTGCTAAAAGAACTGGGTTCAGCTGGGAGAGCGTAGTGAATGCCCCAGTAAGTCAGTACTACGACCTACCTGACCTCAGACTGTCTCTTTTCACGCCCGGTGTTGACAGGTACTCGGAAACAACTTATGCCGTTGTCGTGAAGGCCTTCGTGAAGAACGTACGCTCTAGGGGATTGATTCCCTGGATTGCTGCTGGATACTCGTGCTCGGATCTTCAGCCCGGGACCACATATAAATGGCTGAACGCAACAAGTCAGTGGGGTGGTCTCCGCAATCGCTACAGCTTCAGATTGCGCATCGTAACACCCAAAACGGAGAAGCAAAGTGCTCTCGACCTTGCGGAAGATTTCTTTGGTAAAGGAACTCACTTTGTTCTGACCCACGCAGGTTTTGAGTATGCGCTCTGCGGGAGACTATTCTATGCACCTTGAGTGGGCATCCCTCTCGGCTCTTGTGAACAGAGTTTCATGTTGAGATACATTTTCTTTTTAGGTTAGCTGAAGGGATTGTGCTGAACTGGGTGCTACTAAACCTGAGGTTAGGGTGTGGTTTTTCTTTAGGGCTTGCATGTGTGGATGTAGTAGAGCTGTAGACTCCCTGACCTGATGATTTGTACCGTATTTGCTTAGTCTTTGCAGAGTATCCTGACATCGCAATGGAGCAACATATTTCTTACAGTTGTCAATACCGTAACATATTCATATTAAGGTAGGAATGTTTACTGATTCCAAGAAGGCGAAAAGTGTTAGGGAAACATAACATACTGTCAAAGTCTTAGGAGATGAGAGCTTGAGAAGAGAGAAGGGGGGGATTTAGGAAGAGCAAGAGCAAAAACAAAACAAGCAAAGAGTAGCCCAAAATGGTGCATCACCAACATTTGGATGACATAATTGTCATAATATCATCTCTAGTGATGCTTGATTGATCTTAAGGAAGGGTTACATGCTCGCTGGTTGGGGGGGGGGGGGGGGGGGGGGGGGGGTGGATGGTTGAATATTGCTAAGTGGTAATGGGAGCATAATGAACTTCTACATTCTGATAATCGAAATGCAATAAATGGTGTAGCAGTAGTAACCACGAAGCACAAGTATACCTCGCGTGAAATCCGTTTGCAATAAACGCGACGTGACATTTGAGATGAATTGTAAATTGGCGGTGCGACGCGACATTTGAGACGAATTGTAAATTAGCGATGCGACGCGACTAACCCGAGGAGGAACACGTCACGATTTTAGCGCGAAACGGACTGTACCCACGTCATCTCACTCCTGTTCGACTCCCATCCAATCCAACCCTTGCATACAGGGTGCTGCTGCTCATGTGATGCGCAAATACGCTGTACAGTATGCGCCAGCAGCGCTGTGTTGCTTGCCTTGGCAATCATACTGTGATGTGTGTTGTGAAGCCCCCTCATTGAGGTTGTTCAAAACGTTCTATTCTGTACTGTATGTTGAGTCACGAGCATCACACAGTAAAACGTACGGTCGGAACCGCGTCGTCGCTATCAGGTGCAACTAGTACAGCCAGACAGAAGCCATGGAGCACCCTTCACTGGAGTTATGGATATTGCAGAATTCCAGGCACACGACAGGAGTCAAGTGCGCATGCTTAGCACAAGTCAGCATAGGCCGAGCCAACTCATCACAGCCATATTGAACGCAGGGCTCCAAGTTGGAGCGAACCTCGTTGGAGCGAACCTAACAATCTAGCGAATCTCGTTGGAGATCCCTCGATCCAAACCTGAATGGCACAGCCAACGTGGCAACGTCCGGCCGTTGGAACGGACGGGTGCAATACCATCCAACTTGAAACGTGGTGCTCCAACGCTACGCTGGAGCGAATATCACGTGGGAGCACCATCGATGGATGATATTCCCCGCTCACATGAGCGCGTTTGACGCTCAGGCGCCGTACGGGAAGGAAGCGCCGCCTCACCTCCTCGCCTCCAATAGTACCACGTTGGAGCACCATCGACAGGTAGTCCCCTCTCACATGATGAGCGCGTTTGACGTTCAGGCGCCGTACGGGAAGGAGGCGCCGCCTCGCCTCCTCCCCTCCCCCCTCCCTCTGTCCCCCTTTTTCATTCTCCGAACCGAGTCGCTTCGCCTCGCTCCGTCCAGGGATCATCTGTCCACACTCGCGCTTCCCTCTCGCAACCCACGGAGTAACAGAGGCAGTTGTAGTACAAATGCGTGCTTATATTTAGGAGTTCCAGAATTCCCCTCACAGCCACCGCACGTGACTCGTTCTTCCTGCGGTGCCATCAACGCTTTCCCTTCTTTCTGCGACTGCTAGCACTGCTCTGCGACAACCAGCACTTGTCTGCGACAACCAGCACTTGTCTGCGACAATCAGCACTTCTCTGCAATATTAGGGTAGCACTGCCCGGCCGCGACTGCCAGGACTGCGGCTCGTACCATGCGGCGAGCAACTCTCCTCTGCGTGCTGCTCTGTAAGCGCTGCAGCAATCACGAGTCGTGGCCGAGTGTGGCACTGAGTTTCTCCGCAGCTTCTTGCCGTCAGAGCGGTCACTGCCGCTTGGCACCGGCTGTCGTTAACGTTTTCTGGTAACCGCCAGTTTCGTGTCGTCGTTGACCGCTCACGGCTCCTTATGCTCTCGTTTCGTGCTGCCTGCCTGCCTAACTGCGTGTGTGCGTGCGTACCTGCGTGCCTGCCTGCCTTTTTGCCCGCCTGCCTGCCTGCCTGCCTGCCTGCGTGCGTGCGTGCCTGTGTGCCTGCCTGTGCAGGTGCGGCCCTCTTCACTGCCTATGGCGCGGCTGCGGCATCATTCCTTCCTCGCGATGCGGGTGTGATTGCTGCTTCTACCCGTCATTCGAGGCGTCTGATGTTAAAAGGAAAAAGATTAGGTAAGCGTGTGTCACGCTTGTTGTGTGTGACGCGCATCAGATTGTGTGTAATGTGCTTACTGTCAGCTATAGTCGTACGAGCTCTTGCGGTCGTACGAGCTCTTGCGGTCGTACGAGCTCTTGCGGTCGTACGAGCTCTTGCGGTCGTACGAGCTCTTGCGGTCGTACGAGCTCTTGCGGTCGTACGAGCTCTTGCGGTCGTACGAGCTCTTGCGGTCGTACGAGCTCTTGCGGTCGTACGAGCTCTTGCGGTCGTACGAGCTCTTGCGGTCGTACGAGCTCTTGCGGTCGTACGAGCTCTTGCGGTCGTACGAGCTCTTGCGGTCGTACGAGCTCTTGCGGTCGTACGAGCTCTTGCGGTCGTACGAGCTCTTGCGGTCGTACGAGCTCTTGCGGTCGTACGAGCTCTTGCGGTCGTACGAGCTCTTGCGGTCGTACGAGCTCTTGCGGTCGTACGAGCTCTTGCGGTCGTACGAGCTCTTGCGGTCGTACGAGCTCTTGCGGTCGTACGAACTCTTCCGGTCGTACGAGCTCTTGTAATGACGTCACTGCGTCATAGTGCCACTTATTCCTCCCCACGACCTGCGCCACCCAATTCCTAACAGCAGCCTAGGGCTGCATAGTGCCGCGGCATGCGGAGGAATGTCATTGCTACCATGTGACATGCGACATGCTGTTACCATGTTACATGCGACATGTTGTTATCATGCCTTCATGTAGCGTTACAATGTGTCGCTTCCATTTACCATTTCCCCCGACTGCCCGATCCCTGCCATTTTCTCTTTCCAGCGAAATACGTTGCCGTCTTGCATCCCACGACGTACAATGGGCAAGTAATCGGCGACAAAGCGGCTTCTGGGAGAGTGATTGTGAAGGCAGTGAGGTAAGGAGTGTGTCCTCCTGTTCTTTGCCTTTTCTTCGTTAATTCTTACACGATTCGTATGTATGGAGTCAAAATGTGTGAACCGTGAGATATGTCTTTCTGAGGTGAGGCGCCTAAGAAAGTTTATAAGGTGATCAGGTGTGAAAGCCGTGAGAGTCTTTTCAAGACGCCTAAGAACGTATATGGCGTCACCACGTGTGAAAGCCGTGTGACATGGATCATGTCCCATTGTGATGAGTCTTGTGATGAGTCGTCTAAAACATAGACCCATCGCAAGCTGTGTGACATGGATCATGTCCCATTGATCACTTGCTCTCACGAGATTCTCATGGGTGCTGGTTACTCGAGCTGACACGATTGCGGAATCACCATTGCACGGCAATGGACACCCTGACAAAGCTACTAGTGCTCGTGCTCTTGAATGAAGACTTAGGCTCAACTGGGAGCGCGTAGTAAATGCTAGCAAGTCAGTTCTGCCTACCCGACCTCAGGCACGTTGGTATTACCGGTAGCTACCTGACTCACCTCAAATTTCGCCCGTCTCTTTCCATCTCCGTTTGGCAGGTACTCTTCAACAAACTATGCCATTTTTATAAGGTTGGTTATTTTTGACATAAAGTCGGGAGGAAAGATTCCAGTGGTCGATTCTGGATCAACCTGCACAAGTGCTAACCCTGCTTACGGTAATATTCCGGACGCCAATTGGATGAATATAACGACCCAGCAAGGTGGTGGTCGCGGCCGTTACAGCTTTAAAATGGAGGGCAGTGTGGCTCTTGCGTCGAAGAGTGCTGCTTTCGAGAATGCAAAATACATGATGGGTAATGGAAAGTTTTTTTGTTGTAGGGTATGAAGGGAATAAGTTTGCACTCTATGGGTACTAATCTGATGTTTATATATTGATATATCGTAGTGGTATATATATATAGGTAGTAGTATTTCTGTAGGGTTTGCATGTACACAATGGAATATATAATCTGTTTGCACTACTGTTGATTTTGCAAAGCTGGCCGGACTGACCGGCAGATTTCATTCCCCCTTGTCGTCTCGCTACTGTTGCCGGCCGGCAGAATGATTAGTCGGTTTCATATTTTATTAGTGTCAGGTTCGGGATGAGGTGCATCCAACCACTCCTACCCGTACCCGTTCTGTTAGGCTATCGAACAGGGCCTCAGTCGACGACGTCTGTGGTTCCGGGTCGGGGCGATGTAGTAAATGGATGAATGTTGCGAATCGGTTATTGGAACGAGTGAATTCATCTCTTGCGCTACCTTCTTTCGCTTTCTCTTCTTTCTCGACCGGCACTGCTCTGCGATCGCACAGCTGGTCATCGATGGCTCTTCTCCACGAAATCGCTTTCTCTTCTGAGACGTCTCAAAAGTCGAAATCGCTTTCTCTTTTCCATTTCTTAGCACTGCCTTTGCCAGGACTGCGGCGATGAACTCGGAGCGCGTAGCACTCCTCTGCATGCTGCTATGTAAGCGCTGCAACAAAAACGAGTTGTGATGATCGATTGATGTCCCCCTGCTGTTCCCCTCTGCATGCTACTCTGTAAGCGGCGTATCCATCACGAGTCGTGAGATGATCATCGATTCATGCCAGAGCAGTCATGAGTGGGTCAGTGCGCTGCTCACTCTCCACGAGTGGTTCAGTGCGCTGCTCACTCTCCGCGACTGGGTCCGTGGCTGAGTTTGCCCGCCTGCCTGCCTGCTTGCCTGCCTGCCTGCCTGCCCGCCTGCCTGCCTGCGTGCCTGCAGGTGCGGCACTCTTCACTGTCCATGGCGCGTTTGCCTCATCGTTCCTCCCACGCGACGCTGGAGCGATTGCTGCGTCTGCCACTTCTGCCACCTCTACTCTTCACCCCAGGCGTCAGCTGTTAAAAGGAATGATAATAGGTAAGCGTGTGTGGCACTTGTTGCGTGTGCAGCGCTTGTTGCGTGTGACGTGCCTCAGATTGTGTGTAAACGCTTACTGTCAGTAGTTCTAGTTGTACGAGCTCTTGCAGTCATACGAGCTCTTGCAGTCATACGAGCTCTTGCGGTCGTACGAGCTCTGGTGGTGTCGTCACTGCGTCATGGTGCCACCTACCTACTTACTTCACCCTTCGACTAGCTGTGCCCCAGGGCTGGATAGTGCCTTAGGGCTGGATAGTGCCGCGGCAGACGGAGGAATGCCATTTCTACCATGCGACATGCGACATTGTGACTTGATGTTGTTATCACGCCTTCATGCAGCGATACAACGTGTCACTTGTATGATTGTATCCCTCCATTGACTTTTTCCCCGTCTGCCCGGTCCCTGCCATTCCCACTTTTCCAGCGAGATTCGGCGCCGTCTTGCGTCCCACGTGGCACCAGGGGAAAGTGATCGGCGACAGAGCGGCTTCGGGGAGAATTGTTGTGACAGCCGTGAGGTAAGGCTTTTGAGGCGCCTTGGAAGAGTTGTTGTGAAGGCTTTGAGGTAGGGAGAGTGTCCTGTCCTTCATTTATTCTTAGCTAGTTCGTACACTATTTTGTTTTTGAGGCGCCAAAGAACGCTTATGGAGTCATCATGTGTGTGAAAGCCGTAAGATCTGTCGTTTTGAGGCGCCTAAAACGTGTATGGAGTCACCGTGTGGGAAAACTGTGAGATCGTGTCCCATTGATGTGAGATCATGTCCCATTGATGTGGAATCATGTCCCATTGATGTGAGATCATGTCCCATTGATGTGGGATCATGTCCCATTGATGTGAGATCATGTCCCATTGATGTGGGATCATGTCCCATTTATGTGCGATCATGTCCCATTGATGTGGGATCATGTCCCATTGATGTGGGATCATGTCCCATTTATGTGGGATCATGTCCCATTGATGTGGGATCATGTCCCATTTATGTGGGATCATGTCCCATTTATGTGCGATCATGTTCCATTGCTTACTTGCTCTCAAGCGATTCTCCTGGGTGTCAGATCAGATCGTGCTTAAGCTGTGAGTGGGTTTAACCATGGTGAGGTACGGATGTGTGTGCTGCTTACTTACTCCAGCTGACACGATTGAGGAATCACCACAGCACAGCAGCAACAGCCACACCGACACAGCTAGTGCTTGTGTTCTTGAAAAAACTTGTAGCCTCAACTGGGAGCGAGCATGTATAGAATGCTACTAGCGAGTCAGTATTGCCTATGCAACCTGTGGCATGGGGGTATTCGTAAGTCAGCACTAGCAACCTGACTAACTTCAAAATTTCCCGTCGCTTCCCATGTCCGCTTGACAGGTACTCTGAAGCAAGATACACTGTTTTTTTGAAGATATTTATTTTCGGCATAAAGTCCGGAGGAAAAATTCCCATGACTACTCCTGCTTCAACTTGCACAAGCGGTACCCCTTCTTACGTGAATTTCCCTGAAGACAAATGGTTGAATATAACGACTCGGAAAGGTGGTGGTAACAAGCGTTACAGCTTCAGATTGGGAGCCACATCGCCGGCGACGACGGAGAGTTCTGCAATCTCTTATGCGAAAGGGATTACTGACGGTGGGAAGTACTTCATTGTAGGGCACGAAGGGAAGAAGTATGCGCTATGCGGGAAGTATGTTCGGCGCAAATAATTCTGTAGCGCATTCTTGTGTGCGGGTGATGTAGGTGAGAGGAAGTGCTGTAAGAGAACCAATGAGTACGAGCCTGTAATTTTATGTACTACTAGCCTGTAAACCTTGGCTTGCTTGTGGATGTGGTTTCTATCTATATAATTATCTTGTGCTGGAATGTCTACATTTTCCGAGCAAGCAAAAAGGAGCACTTCTCCAGGGCATTGCATGTAGTGACAACTACGGTACACTACAACGAAAACATGCGCACACATCTCTGGCAGATTCAGTCAATTGTGACAGTTTCAGTCAGCTTGACGGATTCAGTCAGGAAGAAACGTCCCATGGAAGCCGTACGGTACTCTCTTGGGAAGAATGACCCGAGCCAGCGGCTGCTTGTCCAGATTCATTGCATCCAGCACAATCACTTCGCTCCTCATCTCCTCCTCATCCCATACATGTGCCAACACCCACCCATCGTCCTCCTCCTCTGCACCCATCCCAACCGCATCAGCACCCAGTCCCACCACATCTCTACCCATTCCGACTTCATCTGACCGCGCTTCACCGCTCTGCGACCTGCTGCTGCTCTGAAAGTGGTGCCGTGGAGCAAACACAGGCTCCCCACAGAACCTCCCGGGTGGGAGGGTATGCACCTGGTACGTGCCTTGCTGAAAATCATGCTTCATTATAGCGTTGAATGAGGGGACGGTGGTGCCTGGTGGTGGGTTGGGGGAGTGGGAGGAGGGGTGTGGAGTGGAGACACATGAAAGGGGGGCATTGGGCATCTGATATGTGCCGTGCTGAAAGCCATGCTTCATGATGGCGTTGAATGAGGGGACGGTGGTGCCTGGTGGTGGTTGGGGGACGGGAGTGAATACAGAATGGAAGTAGGACATTGGGCATTGCGCATTGCGCACTGGGCGAGCATTGCGCATTGGGCACAGAGAACACCCTCAGTTCGTTCTTTGACACGTGTCACAGGAGACTGTTACCACCCCTCACCTAATCCGGACTGCTACTAACCCACCCATGCCCACCCACCTGCATCCCTGCCCACCCACCTGCATCCCTGCCCACCCACCTGCATCCCTGCCCACCCACCTGCATCCCTGCCACCCACCAGCATCCCTCTGCACCGCTCACCTGGGCCTGGCTGTGCTGTGAATCGGGCAGAGTAAACGAACCGATGGGGGATGAGTCTACCAAACCCCCTCCCTGCCCACCATCACCATCCCTGTCCACCCACCTCCATCCCTCTACATCCCTCAGATCCATCCCTCTGCACCCTTCACCCTCACCTGGGCCGGGCTGTGCTGTGAATCGGGCAGAGTAAGCGAAGCGATGGGGGCGGCCCGTGAAATTGGGGTTGATGGATGGGAAGTCGCAGCACACCTGTGCAGATGGGGAGAAAGAAGGGATGAGAGGCGAAACGGGGAAGGCAAAATGGGGAAGGTGAAGGGATAAGGCTGAGGAAATTGGGGTTGATGGAGGGGAAGTCGCAGCACACCTGTGCAGATGGGGAGAGAAGAGGGAGAGGCGAGGGAACGGACGGGCAGATAATGTAAGTAGAACAAGCAAAGTTGGAGTAGGGGAAGTCGCAGAGACTTTTGAGTCGACTCAAAAGTCACCAAAGTTAGAGTAGGGGAAGTCGCAGCACACTCCTGCAGGTGGGGAGAGAGGAGAAGCAATGCAAAAGGAGTGAGTAAAAAAAAGGATGAGGTGAAATGGGCGAGAGTTAAGCGTGAGGGAAAATCACAGCAGACCCGTGGGCTGAAGAGACGGCAGGCCCCTTGTAACTTACAAGGGTTTGTACCTGTACTCGTTGCACCACAAAAGAGCTCGTGCAGCCCCCTGTTAAGGCGCCTAGAAAGATTTTTGAGGCGCCTCAAAATATTTGAGACGATTTTTTATGCGCCTTGAGAATTTGCAAGGGCTTGTACCTGTACTCGTTACACCACAAAAGAGCTTGTGCAGCCGCCTTTTGAGGCGCCTAGAAAGGCATTTCACATACCTTGCACAAGAAGCTCTCCTCTACTGCTCCCTACTGTTTCCCGATCAAAGATCGTAACGTACCTTTGAGACACCTCAAAACACGTTACACATACCTTGCACAAGGAGCGCTCCTCTACTGCTCCCAATTGGAGGTCCAGCCTGTACTCGTGCAATCGCGCCACCTCATCACATGCCAGCTCATCTGCCAGCTCAGCAAGGCCAAGCGCTGAGAAGGCGGGGAAGCGGATGACACGTAGGATGATGGCGGGAGGAGGAGAGTCCGGGGTGGAGGAGGAGGGGGAGGACGAGGAGGAGGAGGGAGAGGGGGAGGAGGAGGTGGGGGGGGGGGGTTCTTCAAATGCGTTAACCACATGAAGACAGAACCTGCAAGGATGCAAGGGAATAGGAGGAGCAGGGGAAACGGAGGTAGAAATTGGAACAAAGAAAATTTGGACCATGTGCAATGGGGAGGAATGGATTTGAAGCCTAGAGAATGTTTAGTCTCAACCCGGGTCCACAGTGAACCAGTGAATGTCTGAATTAGAGCCAAATCGCGGGTGGTGCTTTGTTTTTGACTCTGCAACACTCTCAAAACAGGATGGCAAAAAGGTTGTCACAGCAACTCACCCTGGGTCCTCAGTGAACCAACGCGTGTCTGGATTAGAGCCAAAACGCGGGTGCTTTGTGTTTTACAATGCAAGTCTTGGCAGTGTACCAGGCTGTCATTACAGGGTGTCGCAGCAACTCACCCTGGGTCCACAGTGAACCAGCGCATGTCGGGATTAGAGCCAAAGCGGGGAAGCACTCCAATGCGGGATGGCTTGGACTGGATCGGGGGAGCGATGGGGAAGCAGAGAAAGAGAGGGGAACAGAGTCCGGGGCGAGAGAGCATAGTAGTCGATTGATGGGAAGGCAGAGGCAGCAAAGCGAGTGCGGGCAGGAGGATCAGCATCCTCCGGATCGAGGATACGCAGGAGGGTATCCTTCCAGACGCAAAAATCAGTGGCTTACCGGGTCGAAGACGAAGGGCTTGGCCTTGCCGTGCGACTGAATGACTTTGTCTAGCTGGAAGCGAAGCGGGAAGTCAAGGAATATGCTGTGGTGCTGTGTTATGGCGAAGTCATGCATCTGAGAGGAGGGGTTTTTGGGGAGAGAGGGAGAGAGGAAGAGAGGAAGGAGAGAGGAGCGGGAAGGAAGAGGAAGGGAGGGGATGAAAAAAGGAGTTGGGAGAGGTGATGAGGGGTTGGGGGGAGTGGAAGAATGTCAGACGCTGCAGTAGTCCGTAAACACACTACGGCATAACCCAACCATACCATGCCAAACCACACAGAAACACTGCTATACCACATCTTACCGAAACCAACAATCCATATGATGACAAAACATAACCCATCAGGCCATACCATACTACCCAGTGCACCACATCAAACACTACTGCACCGCTCTCATGTACCATGACATGCCTTAATACCAACCAACCCAGACCATGCCAAACCACATCGAACACTACTCCACCGTTCTGTACCATGACAGGATGTGGCAGGTCGAGGTCAGTGGCGTGAACGAGGGAGCCAGAGGGGTCAACCACCCCGTAGCGGAGATATGGCTGTGAGGGGAGGGGGAGCGAGGGGTGAGGAAGGAAGGGGGGAGGGAGGTGGGCATAGGGAGAGAGGTGACATGTGAGTCGACATGCCAGAGGGGTCAACCACCCCATAGCGGAGATACGGCTGTGAGAGGATAGAAGGTGGGGCGCAGCAGGAAACAGTGGGAACGGGGTGATCCTTGAGTGGTAGGAGACAGGGTGTGGCAGGTCGAGGTCAGTGGCGTGAACGAGGGAGCCAGAGGGGTCAACCACCCCGTAGCGGAGGTATGGCTGTGAGAGGGGGGAGGTGGGGCGCAGAGGGAAACAGTGGGAATGGAGTGACCCTTGAGTGGCACAAAAGGCGGCAGGGTGAGGCAGGTCGAGGTCAGTGGCATGGATGAGGGAGCCAGAGGGGTCAACCACCCCGTAGCGGAGATATGGCTGTGATTGTAGGGAAGAACACATGGGGAGAGAGTGGGAATGGGGTGAATATGGAGTGTGAATGCAACAGGAGGGATCGCCTCAAAGTCACCAACTCCATATTGAGTGTGAATGGGGCCTTTACGAGGCGCCTTTTGAGGCGCTTTTTTAGGCGCTTTTCTTTTCTGAGGAGCCTCAACAACAAGGTTGGAAGTCCCTTTCAAGTCCAGATCAAAAGCGTGCTAGTGTAATGTGCGCTGTGATGCGCAGCTTTAAAGTGAGGGTAAGCAACACCTCTTGGTGCACCCTTTTGGTAATCCTACCTTGGGTTGTAGAAGCTTTTGTGGCGAAATCAGTGTTGCCCCATGCGAGTTGTAAAACTGTGAAAGGAACTAGTTACATTGTAATTCAATTCTTAACCTGTAATTCCTAAGCTGTCAGCTCTTAGACTCTCAGGCCGTACCTTGTGCGTGAGGTTGTAACCGTAGATCATCATGTGGTTGGTAACCGGATCCACTTTCGGGTGAGCTGTCATGCCGCTGCGCCACATGTCATCAAACGAGTGGACGCCCTGAGGGAAATGCAGAATGAACGAGGGGGCACATCTTTTACCCATTTTCTCTTGAAAAAGGAAAGCGGTGCATCGTAGAGTGAAAGGAGAGGAGGCACCCGGTGAGAGGAGGCACCCGGTGAGAGGAGGGTAGTACCTTGGTGTCGAGGATTGAGGGGTCGAGGGGGTATGGCAGGCCTGCTACCCAGAGGGAGAGGAGGCATCCGGTGAGAGGAGGGTGATGGGGCGAGAGGGTACCTCGACGTTGAGCGTGTGAAGAGTGACGGGTGGGGTACCTTGGTGTCGAGGATTGAGGGGTCGAGGGGGTATGGCAGGCCTGCTTCCCAGAGACACATAAAGGTTCATATGAAGGTTTCCAGAGACGATTTCAAAGAAAGAATGGGGCGGTGGGTTTTGTACCTTGGTGTCAAGGGTTGCAGGGTCGAGGGAGTAGGGCAGGCCTGCTTCCCAGAGGGAGAGGAGGCGCCCGGCATGACCAGCAAGACCAGCAAGACCAGCAAGAGGAGGGTAGCGGGCAGAGAGGGTACCTTGGTGTCAAGGGTTGAGGGGTCGAGGGAGTAAGGCAGGCCTGCTTCCCAGAGGGAGAGGAGGCGCCCGGCGTGCTGAATGAAATGGTTGTTGGACACGTTCTTGGTCTGATTGGGATGGGAGGGAGGTGGAGAGGAGGGGAGGGGAGGGGAAGGGAGGGGAGGGGAAGGGAGGGGAGGGGAAGGGAGGGGAGGGGAAGGGAGGGGAGGGGAAGGGAGGGGGGGGGAAGGGAGGGGAGGGGAGGCATGCAAGATGAAGTGGTTGTTGGACACGTTCTTGGTCTGATGGGGACGGGAGGGGGAGAAGGGGGAGGGAGTGGAACAGAGGTGGAGAAACGCGTGCAGGATGCGATGGGTGCAATGGTGGGTGGGTGCAATGGTGGGTGGGTGCAATGGTGGGTGGGTGCAATGGTGGGTGGGTGCAATGGTGCAGAGACGCATCATACTGGGCTGGGCAGGATTTAGCGTGTATGAGATACGTACCCCTGCAGGGTGGGTGTTGCAACCATTCCATTCATTATCACCCTGACATGATCTGTACCCCTTACTGGGCTAGCAAATCGTATCCCTCACAAACACACCATGCCCCTTACCAAAACAGGGTACCTCTTTCATACCCCTTACAAACACACTATACCCCTCATACACACACAGTACGCCTTATAAGCATACCATGATCCATTTGTCCTGCTGTCTCAGCCTGAGAATGTTTATTGCAGCCAGCAGCAGATGACTCGCCCCCAGCACCACCTGCTACATCCACACCACACCACACCCCTTATCAGAATACTATACCCCTTCTAACCACGCCATACCCCCAAAAAGCTCACCATGTTCCACATGGGAGCGTCTTGTTGTCTCAGCCTGAGGATGTTTATTGCAGCCAGCAGCAGGTGACTCGCCCCCCCAGCCCCACCTGCTGCAGCCCACACCACTCCATACCCCTTGTATACACCTTATAATCACACCATACCTTTTGAACTTACCATGTTCCACATGGGTGCGTCCTGCTGTCTCAGCCCGAGAAGGTTCATCGCAGCCAGCAGCAGATGATTCGCCCCCAGGCCCACCTGCTGCAACCCTCCAAAAAGCGCCCGCCCCGCCGCCCGCTCCTCCTGCCAGCCTGTCGTCCGGATGTAGCGCCGCCCGTAGCTCACTCGCGAGGAGTGAAAAATCTCCTCACGGGCTTCACGAGGGTGACACTGAAAGTTCTCCTCAGGGGGGTGAAAGTTCACTGAATGTACCATGCCGTCCCCGTCGAACCAGTGGTAGAGCTCAGGGCTGGAGGGAGGCAGCTGTGGGTTGGGGCCGTTGCGGATGAATCTACCCCGCAAACCCCGGGGGATTTGACCTATCACCTGGTGTAGAGTGAAGGGGAAAGACAAGACCGAGAAAAGGTGAATACGCAAGCGGAGAGGGTTAGAACCAGTGGTACAGAGCGGGGCTGGAGGGGGGCAGCTGCGGGTTGGGGCCGTTGCGAATGAATCTACCCCGCAGACCCTGGGGGATCTGGCCGATCACCTGGTGTGGTGACACAAGAGACAGAAAGGCAGAAAGGCAGACTGAGAGGCAGACCGAGAATCAGACAGTCAGGGAAGGTTGGAGAAGGGTAGGAGGTGGATATAGACGGCAGGAGATGAATATAGACGACAGGAGATGGCGAGGGGGTCACTCACAGCGCAGTCCAGCTCCTGAAGCACCTCGTTGCCCACTGGACGGAAGTTGCCACTCAGATACGGATTGCGCACAGGAGGGCTCTTGGTTGCAGTGCTTCTGTTGTTCGCACTGCTTGCAGCCCTGGAGACGTGCCCGCCGTCTGCTCCTCCTGCTGCCCTCTCCTTCACACTACCAGCACCAGAAGACTCAGCAGGAGGAGGGGCCGCGGAGCCTGAAGCAGAACCAGGAGTAGCTTCAGAAGCACCACCAGCAGCACCAGTACGCGTAGCACCAGCAGCACCGCCGGTGGCACCAGTGGCAGCGGCAGCAGCGGCGCCGATGACAGAGAGCACGTCAGCCACGCCATGCACCGTGTGAGATGCCTGCCTGCCTCTCCGCTTCAACTGCGCCTTTGTCCTGGAGTTGGAAGCGTCCAACCTTGCTTTCAGCGCCCCCACGTCCAGGTGCCCCTCCAGGTGCTCCAGGTTGACTCCCAGGTGCCTCAGCTGCGCCCTCGTCTTGGCGTTGGACGCGTCCAGCCTTGCTTTCAGCGCCCCCAAGTTCAGATGCCCCTTCAGGTGCTTCAGGTGCTCCAGATGAGGCAGGTGCTGCCGCAGGTGGTCAGAATCAGCCAGATGCTGCATGTGCTCTCGTGTCCTTTGATTTGATTCTCTCAGGTGCTCAGACGTCCACTGATGTCCCCTTTTGAGGTGGCTTATTGTCCACTCGTTGGACGCATTCAGGCGAGTTTTCAGGTGCTTCAGGCTCTCCCTGGTCTGTTGGTTTGAGATTTTCAGGTGCTTCGCCGTCCACTCGTTGGACGCGTGCAGGCGATTTCTCAGGTGCTTCAGGTTCTCTGCTGTCCGCTCGTTCGACCGTTGCAGCTGCCGCTTCACCTCACTCAAGTCCAGATGGGCTGTGAGCCGTTGATTGGGTTGATCCGATGCAACAGGAAGCACCTCTGCTGCTTCCTGCTCCCCAATCGTTCCACTCTCTATCAACACCCCAACCGCCTCCAACTCTCCCGTTGCTCCTTCACTCTCTCCTGTTCCTCCCCTGTTGCCACCATCAACACCACCACCAGCACCACCACCACCACCGGCATCACCAGCAGAAGCAGCAGAAAGCAGCAGCAGTCGGGAACTGGAGCCATAGCTCAAGTCGTTTCTTCTGTTCTTGTTTCTGGTTTCCAGCAGAGAGGGGTACGGGGTGCCCGGTCTCCTCGGGCTGGGAGCATGCACGCCGCGCCCTGAAGAGAAGCCTGATCGGTTGAGATCGGTCGTGATGGTACGACGGCGAGCGAGAGCGGAGCTTGTCAGGAAAGGAGCTGGGGCCGAACGGGAGTGGCGACGAGAGGTCGTGGCTCCTCCTGAAGCGGAAATCGCGGAGATCGCGGCGGGGTTGGAGGTGAACAAAGCTGAAAGAGACGCCATGGCTGCTAGATTGACGGTCAGGCAGGCGACAACGAACAAAAGGCTCTCTTGACGCCGGTCAAGCGTGCAGGCTCTAGCAGAGAAATGCCCTCGAGCTTATCCAGAACTTCACCGAATATCGCCTAGTCAGGTCTTGCGTCCTCCTTCCCTTCCTCCTCGGGCGCTCGTACGTTGAGCGTAGGTGGTTCAGGAACCTCCGTCCAAGCAGACTGCTGCTGATCAGGTTCGCTACTCCTTCAGCAGGTACTATGAGTAATAGTATGTCACTTGATACGGAGCTCGCGATTCCTCGGGAATTATCCAGATTCCTAGGAATTCCAAGGGCCGAGTCGCTGGCAAAGCGACTGCGTTGGGAGAGCGGCTCGTTCGTCGTTAATTGATACGGAATCGGCGGCTCGGGTGGCTCTGATCTCGTCATTCTGGGATCAAATCGCATTGGCGTCGGGACACGCGTCGACGCGTGGTTAGAGCAGACCGCCATGGCCGGTGCAGCTGCTGCGCTGGATGACCTTGGGCACACCTGTCGCTCGAAGATGATCACCTCTGACACGAATGGCCGAATGTAAACACCTGTCATTCGAAGGTAATAATCTCTTACACGAATGACTGAACGCAAGCTGGCTGACTGACACGTGACAAAGAAAAGTGTGTTTGGAGGTGACGAGGTGAATTACAAATATGTCAAAAGAAAAAAGCAATCTCAAGAAACAAGCCGGTGTAGCTCAGTGGTAGAGCATCTATCTTGTAAACAGAAGGTCCAGAGTTCAATCCTCTGCGTCGGCATGTTTTGTTCCCTCGTGCCACCTGGCATTCGCCACTCTGGCACGATCGTCGAATCGCGAAGCTGCTGCTCCCAAATGCTGGGGGAAACAGGTGGAAGGCAGAGAGGCAACCTTGAGAACGAATTTTCCTGCCCGCTTGGAGATATTTTGCGGTGAATGGATGCTTCCTCGCAAAACGGCAACTTCTCTCTTCGAGCTTCTTCGGGAAAAGTTTTGCCCGGAGAGGAGAGTGAATGCTGGCTCGCAGCGCGGCAGAATCCATGCTGTCTACTCTGAATGGATTCTGCATGGTGGCTCTTGGGCTCAAAGGACATTCTAGAGCTCGATGAATTGTGACTTCGCCACTGCTTCGACAGGCGCGTTCCTCCATTCATCTCTGAATGCCTTAATGATTCTGAACTAAGCGTGGTTGACCTAGCAGCGCGTACAAGGCGATTCTCCTGAATCAACACGTGGTGGGGGGACGGAGATAGTGCCGTGAACAGTCTCTAATTGCTACATTTGACAGGAACTTAATAGACCCAGAGTTTCCGTCGCAAGGCGACTGTCGCATGCTTCCCCGCATTACGTAACATCAGAGTACCTTTTTCGCTAATTCACGACCATCTTCTATTCGCGACGCTGCGGAATGGCCTCGTCGATCCTTCACTACCCCCGATCGTCGATTCTTAGACCACAGCATCACACCAACTCTTCCGCAACCCGCCTCGATAGTAACTTACTGCGTTCCAATGTAGTACCTGTGCGGAAGCCTTTCAAGGTGCAAGCCAGCAGCAGTAACAGCATTACCAGCCGTCAAGACCGGCCCAACTGTAGCAATGGCCACATCTCCTCGAAACCCTCGACATTTCCTGGAGATTTGCAGTCTCACATCCAATCAGCAGCTTCGCGGATTCTCCTTCCATTGTTGCTCGCGGCGTCGCTTCTTACCACCGAGGCCATGCTTCCGCCTCAACAGTCTGCTGAGCTGGCACCGCTGTCTGGCGCAGCAGTGGAACGTTTGGGTGATGTGACAGAGATATTTCGCGGACCTGCAGCTGACGTGGCAGGGGTGGGCCTGCGGTGGTCAGAGTTAGGGTTACCATTGGGGGGTATCGGCACCGCGCGTGCAAACGGACTGCTGCAAATGCCGCCTATTGAGCTGAAAAACACGTGAGTGCAATGGTGTGAGTTGTGATTGTATCGAATGTGATTGTGTTGGGTGGTTGTGTGAAGTACAAGAGTGGTGAATGTGACTGTTGCGAAGCCTTCCCGATCGCCCTCTCCCACTCCTCCGTCCTTCTTCCAGGTACTACCTGGTGAGAGCAGGAGTGGGAAGCTCTGGGCATGATTCACACCAACCCCGTAGACAAGACCAACGTGCAAATCGATCCGAGAAGGGCAATTTATTCCCTCTCCCTTCCTCCATCTAATTCCCTCTCCTTGCCTCCCCCTCTCTCTCCCCCTCTCCCACTTCCGTCCCCAACCCTACCCCCACCCCCACCCCCACCCCATCCGTTTTCTCCCAGGTACTACTTAGTAAGAGCAGGCGAGTCAGAGTGGGAAGCGCTTGGGCTAATTCACACCAACCCCGTGGACAAGACAAACGTGCAGAGTGGTCTGTCAGGAGAGGGGAAGAAGCAGGCGGTGGAAGCTGCCAGGAAGCTGCGCAAGATGGACGCCTGCGGTGGAGGGTGCTGGATCTGGCCGTCCATTTCCCAGCGGGCGTATCAGACGGCTGAGGTCGTTGCTTATGTAAACGGCGCGGATTACAGGTGCGTTGGCAGTTGGGGTGGGGAGGTACACATACACGTACGCTGTGACACTTTGAGTCGACTCAAAAGTCAGGGCGGGGATGTACACATATACCTATGGTGTGGTGTGGACAGCACGAGAGAGTCTTAACTTCCCCTCACTCGTACACTTGATGAGTCCACTCAAACTTTGTCAGGGGATTCAAATATTGACTGAAAGGCGTTCTTGTCTTTCAACCATCAGTCAATATTCAAATATTGACTGAAAGGCGTTCTTGTCTTTCAACCATCAGTCAATATTCAAATATTGACTGAAAGGCGTTCTTGTCTTTCAACCATCAGTCAATATTCAAATATTGACTGAAAGGCGTTCTTGTCTTTCAACCATCAGTCAATATTCAAATATTGACTGAAAGGCGTTCTTGTCTTTCAACCATCAGTCAATATTCAAATATTGACTGAAAGGCGTTCTTGTCTTTCAACCATCAGTCAATATTCAAATATTGACTGAAAGGCGTTCTTGTCTTTCAACCATCAGTCAATATTCAAATATTGACTGAAAGGCGTTCTTGTCTTTCAACCATCAGTCAATATTCAAATATTGACTGAAAGGCGTGGGACGTTGAACCGTCAACGGCTTTGAAACTTCTCTCCTCTCTCTCCTTGAACCTCCCCTCTCACTCTCCCTCCTCACCACCGAACCTCGCCTCTTCCTTTCACCACCCCTCATCACCAGCTGAATCGTGCCAGAGTACAGCTTTCTGGACGCCAGGAGACTGGGGGTGTCGCCTCCCTCCCCTTATACCTCCCCTCCCAGCTCCCTCACTACCCTTGGCCCATCTCACACCCCACTACTTCCTCAACCAACCCCTCATCACTCCTCGACCAGCAACATCGTGCCAGAGTACAGCTTTCTGGACGCCAGAGGACTGGGGGCGACTCCTTATCTCACCGTGAACCTTCCCTCACCACCCCTCACCACCCCTCACCAACCCCCACCACCCCTCACCACCCCCCTTCCACCAGCCGCATCGTGCCAGAGTACAGCTTCCTGGACGCCAGGGGACTGGGGGCGTTTGAAGGGCAGCCGCTTGAGATGATGAGCGAGGTGGGTTTGGGGGGGGAGAGTTTATGGCAGAGCTGGGTAGAAGATTGGTGGGAAGGAAGGGGCTGGGAGATAGAGAGAGGGGGAGAGAGAGGCTGGGTGGAAGATAAGGGGGGAAGAGAACGGCTGGGTCGAAGAGAGGGGTCAACAGGGGAGATTGGGTAGTGAATTGGGGGGAGAAGGGGGGGGGGTTGGAAGGGCGATGGGGGGGGAAAGGAAGGGTTATGGGGAAAGAGAGGGCTTGGTGAAGAATGGAGTTGGGGATGGGAACGGGGTGGGGTGGGGGAAAGGAGTGATGAGTGAATCAATAGGTGCCATTTCCCATCCAGGTGTACCTAGAAGACTCTGTTTCCTCCCGGTGGCGCCCGCCCCCCTGCACTGACGGCACCCCCCATGAGAGCATGCCGGACGTGCTCGTGTGGGTGACTCAGCTCCACACCCCATCCCCCTTCCCTTTTACTGTGTCATCCCATCCCATGTCTCATCCACAGATCTACCTAGAAGACTCCGTGTCGTCCAGGTGGCGCCCGCCCCCCTTCACTGATGGCACGCCCCATGAGAGCGTGGCAGACGTGCTCGTGAGAGTGACGCAGCTCATGTCGATCCTCAAAACACAGTACTCAAGAGACGCAGTGGTGATCGTTTCACCGGACTCTGATTGTCTCTCCGTGCTGCAGTCTGCTCTGATTGGGAAGGATCTCTGGAGGTACTAGCAGACGTGCTCGTGAGAGTGACACAGCTCGTGTCCATCCTCGAGACGCAGTACTCAAGAGAGGCAGTGGTGATCGTGTCACCAAACTCTGACTGCCTCTCCGTGCTGCAATCCGCTCTGATTGGCAAGGACCTCAGAAGGTGGGTGAAGAGGGCACTAGTAGCAGCGCATGTGGATGTAAGTGTGTGGTGTGGTGTGGTGTGGTGTCGTGTCGTGTGGTGTGGAGCAAGCAAGGCCAGCTCATGAGTTCATGTGAATTCTCGAGACAAAATACTCAAGAGATGCGTACTTTGACCCCCGACTCAAGTGTGCGGGGTGCAAAGACAGTTCCCCCCGACTCTTACTCTCTTTCCGTGCTGCAGTGTGTTCTTATAGGCAAGGACCTGAGAATATGGGTGAACTGGGGTCAGGGATGTGAGCTCAGCTCCCTGTTGCCGTACCTTTCCTTCGTCTCCCCTCTTCCCTCCATCCAGTCACAGCGACTTGTACTTTCAGCCTGGGGAGGTGAGGCAAGTCGACATCAGCAACAACGCCCCCCCTCCTCCCATTTCTGGTCTTATATCGCTCAACATGCTCAAGAGATAGTTGAAACAGAACGTACTGAATAGTTGTGAGCACAGTTGTGTAGCAAAAAATTAAAGGTTTCATGGGCTCGGTCGGTTTGCACTGCCCGTTGTTTGAGCAATTTTCAGCATGTCATGAAAACTGCATTAGCTTGTGCCATGGCCTGGTGTGTACATGCGCCTACCATACCAATCCACAAATACCACAGGACTATTGCATCAGCAGCCTTTCAGCGCATCTCTACACTTAAGACAGCTTCATAGGATTGTCTAGTATGGTTTACGATATACACTCCCATTCACGCTATAAAACTCCATCCAGGCTGAATCAAACACAGGCACCCATGTAATGGTCCCTTTGCTCCCATTGTACCACTTCTTACCGTATTAACTAACTGGAAGGCTACCTTATCAAGGCCCATGGCTGCTTGCCATCTTCAGTATATCCCCAGCCCAGCTTCTGCCCATCTGGCCCTTTCCGTGTAAGCTCCCTGCCACACGCTCCCCAACGCCCCTCCTTCCTAAGTGTAACAAGTGATTCCTTCCTTTCTTCACATCGTATATTCGCTGAGCTGAATGAAAGGCTCAGGCCCCATGTCTTGCCGACCGGAATCTGCCCTGACTTCACCCATTTGGCCCTCGGTTTGAGACACCCCGTTCCGCTTGCTCTTGCTCTGCTGCTTACTTACTTCGGAGGATACCGAATTACTCCTTTCTTGGTGTCATACCATTCACTCAGCTGAATAAACCGCTCGGGTGCCCACGGCTTTCCATCGCGAATCTGCCCCGGGTTCACCCATTTGGCCCTCGGCTTGTACGCTCCCGGCCCCTCGCTGTCCTTCTCTGCGTAGTAGACGCACTTTCCCTTGTTGTCGCCGTTCCACGTGCTCCATCCCTCCTTGTTGATTTGCTGTTGTGGGAGAGTGGGGCGAGGAGGGGTGAGGAGGGGTGAGAAGGAGTGGGAAGGTGAGGTGGGTTGGGAAAAGGCAGACTCGTGACTGCTCTGGGCTTTTGCACATGGCCCTTTGGCTTGTATCCTCCCCCGGCCCCTCGCTGTCCTTCTCTGCGTAGTAGACGCACTTTCCCTTGTTGTCGCCGTTCCACGTGCTCCATCCCTCCTTGTTGACTTGCTGATGTTGGAGAGAGGAGGAGGGACGGGGAGGGGTGTGAAAGGGGGGGGGGGGGGGGTGGGGGGGTCATAAGGAGAAGGAACAGCAAGTGGGTGAAACGGGTCAGCATTTTCTCTGCGGTGCTGAAAATTTACGCAATGGAAAGGCTTTGCTTGCCCATCATGTGCGTAGGGAGAATGGTAGTTGGGAGGAAACTGAGAGTTATGTAAACTGCTTTTTCCCGATTGCTAAGATAGCTTACCTTTGCAAGGAATGTGTTGATGTAGACTGTACGCGCGCATGTCTTCCAAGGGCGACCCAAGTAACCACTGTTAATTGTAACACCCTTCTCGGCTGTTACAAACGAGTAGCGAATCACGATCCCTGTAGGCGTTTGGGTCTCTCGTCCCGACGCGGTAATTGGGATGTTCGATTTCCCCGCGCGCATCTCAATCGTACAGTTGTCAATGACCGCAGCGGCGTTTCCGAAAATAAAATCCGTGATACCAGAGATGAAGCAGTTTCGGTAGTACTGGCGGCCAGAGTGGGTGTAGAGAGTGTCCTGGTATCCTGTAAAGGAGCAGTCATAAACGACTGCCTTATCCGCGTCGATCATCAGCGCCACGGCTTGGTGGCCCTGAATTCCTGCAGTGTTTTCGAACTTTATCCCCGCTGCCTGGAAATAGTTTTTCTTTACACCTGAGATTGAGTGGCAAAGGCAGAACACAAAGAGGATGGGATTAGGTTGACTGACAGCATCGGGTAGACGTCTAACGAAGGCACCTTTAGAAATGTCTTAATTCTCGGACAATGAAACGGGAGCGGAAGGCGGTTCTCACAGGGAAAGTCTGTACAAAGACATAGCACTAGTTGGTAGAAGTACTCACTGACTGTAGCAGTGTTGTATGTGGTAAATCCACCAGCAACACTGTCCTTCCCCGTTATAATCGTCTTCGTCGCGCCGTCTCCCACCAGAACCACGCCCTCCCGGTTCACCAAAACCTTCTCCCTATACACCCCCGCCTTGATGTACACCACGTACAGCCCCGTTTTCGGAGCTGCTTTTAATGCGTCCGAAATCTTCTTGAACTTCTCGTTCTTCCCTACCACGGCGTTCGGCTTTAACTTCTTGACTTTCGCCAGTTGAAGCTTCCGCCCGCGCTCCGCCCACGCTTCCGCCTCCGCGTGATCCCCTTGCATCCGCGCCTGAAGCTCCCTGATGCGCTCGTACATCGCAGGCTCCACCCACGAAGGCGGCTCCCCCGGACCGCCGCCTTCAAGCGTCTGGCGGCGCAGGGGTAACTTTCGCGCGGATCCGGCGGCGGAGTGGAGCGCGAGGGCGATGGCGGTGTCGAACGATTTCTTGAGATTCTTGCCGAGGGATGTTAGCGATTTCCCCGCGTGCGACTTGTACGTGTCGAGGGAGAATTCCCAGATGCCGTCGAGACACGTGACGAGCTGGTCGCGTGCCGCCGTGACCCAGAACGGCACGTCCTCGTCGTCGGTGCGCGCTTTGAGCGCCGCGGCGGCCTTGACGAGATGATAAAAGGCGTTGGCGGTCTGCGGAAAGGACGTCAGTAGGGGCCGGAGAAGGATGGATTCAATTGCTCAAAATCTTTGCAGACGGGCAAACAGTCTGAGGAAACGAGGTGGACTCCGGCTGAGGGAGGGAGAACGGGAGGGGGATGAGTTGAAATCGACGTAGGGGCGGCACAGCAGGTAGTGAGTTTGGTGCAGCTGCTCAGAGTTTGGAACGAAATGGCTCAGAGTTATAAACGAGTGCGTAATGATCGGGGCAGCTTCATACCAGATCGAGGCAGTCGGTTGTCACGGCGCCCGTCATATTCACTGTACCGCGGTTCTTCCTTATCAAGGATACTCTCGCCAGAATTCTCTGCATTCCCGCCGTGATGTTCGCGACGAGCCCTGGCGCAAGCTCACTCGTCGGAGCGGGAAGCGCACCGAGCTTCCGCCGCACGTCGCGGAGCTGCTCCACGCAATAGCGCGGATCGGGCGTATCCGCGCAAAACGCGGGGTGTCGCAGGATGTAGTAATTGTCGACGGCGTGACACGTGGCAAGGACGGCGATTAAAGCCAGGACGAAGCCCGCCGCACCCCAAGCAAGCCTGCCGGTCCATGACGACGGGAGCGCCATGGCTTGCAGCTGGGAAGGAGGCGCCGGCGCTGCTGGTAATCTCGAAATACCAAGGCGGACTGAAGACTCACCAGTAGACGGAGAGGTAATCTCAGACCGGAAAAGGCTAGTTGTACAATGCATACAGGAACTCGCCCATGCGTGGCTTTTTAACAGTTCGACTTATGGTGCTCTTGTACGGACGTTCTCAACGGATGAGAGGAGGGCCGCTGAGTCAAAACCTGAAGCCTCAGTGAAAAATCATGTGCACGTAAATGAATGTAGCTAGCGGGTCGAGTCGTGCGTGGCCCAGTGCGCCTTGCATGTAGGGCGGGCAGCAAGGCATGCGTCCAGCACACGTCGAGAACATTTTCGCCCCAGCGCTCTGGTGCCGAAGTCACGTCCAGAGAATGGCAGTGAATGTGTGCAGGTGAGAGAGAGTCCCTCTAACGTCCAAGTGCTCCTTGACCAAACCTGGGGAATTTGGGTCGAAGTCGGACCGCGCAATTCAGCGAAAAGTTGGACGCCCTATTTGCGAGTTTCAATTCCTCGGGTTATGCGACGCGTTCGTCGTCCCACGTCCAACGATGTATCTACACTTGTGCTTTTCACAACTTTACGAATATGTAAAGTTGATGGAGTATTTGTCAAATAGCAATTCATCTCTACATGAATAGAAGTGCACTCGGGATGCTTGAGCAATCTTTTGTGCTTCGGGCGTAAATGAATGACCTGGGTAAACGGACGTACGTCTCTATACATAATGATACCGGTAGGCTTTTGTGTAGAATATGTCACTTTTGCTGTATCAACACGCCTTCCCTTTGATACAGCAAGTACAAAAGCCACTTTCATAATATGTTAACAACATCATCAATCAATAAGTACCGTTAGGCCTATGCATAGGTTGCTCCAATATTCATGCAGAGTGAAGCGACAATTTAATTGCTCTGTCCAGAGATTTCTTGACCTGTCTTCCATGTGCCTGGTATATGAGGAAACGGGTAAGCAAGCAAGCAGGCAGACAATTTAACACAGCACAGGAGGGGGCATGTTAAGGAAACTGACTACTAGCAGAGCAGAGCGTCTATGGGGAGGTCTCTCACTCTTGTGACCTGGTCCTGTGGCGCTGTCAGCCAAATCAGCACGTCTCTCTGCACTTGCTGCACGCGTTGAGTCTCACCTGGAGAGCGTCTATGCGGAGAACTCTCTGAACCCGTCCAAGCACTCTTGTGACCTGGTCCTGTGGCGGTGTTAGCCAAATCAGCACGTCCCTCTGAAGTCGCTGCACGCATTGAGTCTCACCTGGAGGGAATGTCCAACCAGTGCGCTGAGAATGGTGGGGGAGAACTCTCTGAACCCGTCCAGGCACGTGCTCACCTGGTCCTGTGCCGCTGTCAGCCAATCCAGCAAGGCCTGTGCGTTGCTGCGCGCCCTAAACGGATAATATCATCGATTCTGTGGAGTTGCTGCACGCATTGAGAGCTCACCTGGAGTGACTTTCCGGCTGGTGTGCTGAGAGTGGCAGGGGAGAAGTCTCTGAAGCCGTCCAGGCACGTGGTCACCTGGTCCTGTGCTGCTCTCAGCTAGGCTGTAAAGCCTTCCTTGGGCCATCCATAGGACAAGACGCCATGTTTTGAAAAAGGGTCGTGCCCTGAGGGCTCACCTGCAGTGATTCTCCCACAGCGTGCTGAGAGTGGCAGGGGTGAACTCTCTGAACCCGTCCAGGCATTTGGTCACCTGGTCCTGCGCCGCTGCCAGACAAACCCGCAACCGGCGCATTCCTCTCGCGCTGCTGCACGCCTTCAGTGCATTGAATCTCACCTGGAGTGATTTCCCCACAGGCGTGCTGAGAGTGGCTGGGGAGAACTCTCTGAACCCGTCCAGGCACGTGCTCACCTGGTCCTGCGCTGCTGCCAGCCAAGCTAACATGCTTTGCCATTGCCGCACGCCTCGAGCCTCACCTGGAGAGATTTTCCGACGGGTGTGGCGAGCGTTGCTGGGGAGAACTCTCTGAACCCGTCCAGGCACGTGGTCACCTGGTCCTGCGCCGCTGTCAGCCAGTACGGCACGTCACTTGCGCTGCTGCGCGTCTTGAGCGCCTTGGACACGCGGGTTAGATGATCCAACGCGGTGGCCATCTGAAGGAGGAGGAGAGGGGGAGAGGGTTGGGGAGCAGAGAGGGGAGAAGGAGGGGGTTAGGAAGCATCCTTTGCGGTGCTGTGCATGTTGAGCGCCTTGGACACGCGGGTTAGTTGATCCAATGCGGTGCCCATCTGAGGGGGGGAGCAGAGGGGAGAAGCCGAGAGACAATTGTAAGGGTGGGGGGATGAGCACGGGATTAGGGGAGCACGTCTCTTGGATCAGTGAGAGCTTTGAGCGTCTAATTTAGCTATCAGAAATAATAGTAAAGCTAGAATAGACAGTGAGAGGTAAACGTTGAACTCAACTCTTTTATTTTTCATCCAGCAGTTGGAACGCACCAGAGACAGGCAGTCATTTGCGCAGGAATCCGTCATCTTCGTTTTACCGCTGCCCTTCTTTATCGCGTAAACCCTCGCGGTCAACACCTTCACTCCCGCCGTGATATTCGCCACGAAACCCGGAGTTAGCTTCCCGCCCGAACCAGACGCGGCCCCGCCCCCTGCTGCTGCTAGCGACCTCCGCGAGAGGCTTGGCGACACAGTAGAGCGCTGGTAATGGTAAAACTGACACGTGGCAAAGAGAGCGACTAGCAGAACGAGGGCGACGGCTGCAGTGGCCGAGCGCCGTGCGAGAGTACGAGCAAGTGGTGTGGTGTAGGGTCCCGTTTGCGTTGACACAGGGAAGGGATGTGCGGTAGGCGCATCGCACGGGGAAGGTATTTGCGTGAAGCGTGTGGTTTTGGAACGCGCGGGATTCCCGAGGGAGCACAAGGAAGGGGCCGAAGCGGGTGGCGTCGCATCATCGCTGCGCGACGTCGCTTGGTCACCGTGCGAAAGCAGTACTACTACGTCGCATCCCTCCGGGAATCCCTCAAGTGGACCCTTTACAGTCGCCTCAGAATTCGGCTGAACAGGCGGGGAGGAATCTCCGGACATGGCGGACGCGGATGGCACTACGGTCACGGTTCAATTACAGATTGCACTTAAAGGATAGTATAGAGCGGCTTAGCTGCGAATGAGGGCCTCTCTAAGGATATGCTGGAAATATTCAGACTAGCAAGGTCGATTACGAAACGATTCTGAGGTATTTTTGAAGCGGCTCCTATTTCGGAACGATTTCTAAATATCACGATGACGAGGGTCGTTAGACTCTAAACTTCTGGTTGCGATGTTTCAGAGAAGATACCAGGAACTAGGCGCTCAGCTGATTCGATGGCTGTCGAACTGGCATCGCAAGGGAGGGAGAAAGGGAGAGCGGTGAGCTAGGGGTGCATGTGTCGGTAGTACAGACACAAGTCCTGATTCGCTCTATCCACGGCACTTCCGTTGCTTCGCTCACACCACCACCGCCGCACCATACCACCCTGCTCTTCGAACAGTAGTACCACACTCCTCTGCTGACGGCACCGCACTGCACTCCACATTCCTCGCTAGGAGTGGAGCTGTCTTCAACTAGCAGTCACCTCACACACACACCACCGAAAGTCTCACACGCACCCAACCACGAGCACTTTAGCAGATGCCAGGATGGTGTGGTGGGGTGGGGTGGGTGGGTGGCGAGCGAAAGCTTTCGTGTCGAGTCAAGTTGAGGGTGCACCACAGACGCCGCGCAAAACAGCTCGTTGACAGCAGCAGTCCCGTTTCGCTCGTGGCGCAACATTCACATTTTTGCGCAGGGGCGCCACAAAAGCAAGCCAGGTGCTCGCGGAAATGGCGAATGCGGAATTTCGCATTGGGTGAAATTCCCCATGGCGCCGCGCATGAGGTGCTGAGCGGAATGTTTTTGCAAAATGACGGTGCTTCATCTGAGACGCGCGAAAACTGGCTTCCCTCCACGAAAGCGAATTTCTGAACCACCACACTGCTGTCGGTGGTTACCAAGACCAGCACGATTTTTAGCGATACCAAGTAATCACCAAATGTATCGAGAATACACTTACCGAGCATAGTGACACCATATAACTCTAGTTTTCAAACCCCATTTCTCTGGCAGCATTTTAAAGCATTTCAAAACATTCAAACCATATAAAAGTACCCAGAATCAACACCTATAGATAAGCTTATAAGTACGCTTGCAGCACCATCAGTATATGTTCAATTAGCTAGCAACCCAAAAGCCTCACACAATATCCATCACTGCAGCAACCACTTCCCATCGCAACAAGTTCCTCAAGCATCAGTCTTGGCCTTCTTAGCAGCCGGCTCCTCCTCCTTAGCATCCCCGTTCTCCTTCCCATTCTCCTTCCCATCCGCCTTCTCTCCCTCAACTTCCTTCTCCCCGTCCTTGCCCTCATACGAAGCATTGTGCACGCCCAGAGCAGCCCTGCCGGAAGGGTCAAGGTTGTTGGCCCAGGCCGCATCCCACTTGACTGCAGCAGCCGTGCTGCAGGCCACACTGGCACCCCACGGCACCGTGAGGCGAGCACACAGCTGAGAGGATCAGAAAGGTAGAGGGGGGAGTGGGGACGGAAGGGGGGGGAAGCAAGGATGAACGAGAGATGCAGGGAGAGGGGTCAAGGTTGTTGGCCCAGGCCGCGTCCCACTAGACTGCAGCAGCCGTGCTGCAGGCCACGCTGGCACCCCATGGCACCGTCATGCGCGCACACAGCTGAGCAGATGGTATGGAAGGAGGGGTGGACAAACAGGGGCAGGAGTGAGAGGAAGGGACAGGGGTGTGTGGCTGAGTGGAATTGGTCCCAATTGATCAAATATAAACACTCACGGCAACGCAATGCCATTCTCGATAACCAGAGAACAGATGTTACCGGAGGGAGGTGTTATCTGGGGTGTTATCTGATAGGAGTGGTACCTGAAGGAACAAATTACCCGGGGGAGGTGTTACCTGGGGCTAAGTGGCAAAAGACGCTGGGCGCGTCATGCGTCCTGCGTCTGGACGCAGCGTCCGGACGCAGGGACGCTGGACGCGCGTCCAGACGCAGGACGCACGGCAGATTTTTTTTCGGGCTGACCGGAATTTTTTGTTTTGTTTCCCGATCGCGAAGTTGACATTCGCGATTTCGACGCGAATGTCAATGTCGCGAAATTTCGACCCCCAGACCCATTTCGACCATCAAAAACAGCCCACACACAATTCTCCTTCGTAAACCCTTGAGGGTTTAGCTACCTTTCGCTCCATAGTGCTACCTTTCGCTCCATAGCTATGTTTTTGCCTCACATGTGTGATACGTCGTCCTCCCCCCCCTTCCCATGCCCTATAACGTGTTTTTTTGGCTGCCCGGGGGCTTCTTTTGCCCTGCCCGGGCCTGCGTCTTTTGCTGCGTCTCAAAGGCCCACATCATGCGTCCTGCGTCTAAGACGCTGCGTCTGGACGCACTCGTCTTAGACGCAGGACGCGTCTTTTGCCACTAAGACCTGGGGATGTGTTGCCTGAGGAAGGTGTTACCTGGGGGAAGTGTTTCTCGAAGGTCATGCGGTAGAAGAAGGCCTCCTTGGTCTTGGGCGTGTTGATGGGGAACATGTTGGGCGCATTCGCCAGCATCTGATCTGATACCATGTTCTCAGCGTGCGCTTTCAGCCCGTCGATCCAGCTGTACCCCACGCCGTCACTGAACTGCTCCTTCTGGCGATACAGGATGTGCTGCAGTGAGGGAGGTGAAGGAAGGATGGGGAGAGGAAGACGATGACAGGTAGAAATAATTAATTGCTCGACCATGCCAGCTGCACCCCACTCGACCAAACCCTCAACTGCACCTCCTGGCAGCACAGAATATGCTGCGGTAACGGAAAAGGGACGTGGGGAGGGGCAAAAGGGGAGGCGAATTGGAGGCAAAAGAGAGGCAATCGTGAATGGGGAAAAAGGGAGAGAGAGCAGGTATCATTGCGGGGAGGTATGAGTGCAGGTATGAGCAGATATGAGCAGGTATGAGCAGGTATGAGCAGGTATGAGCAGATATGAGCAGGTATGAGCAGGTATGAGCAGGTATGAGCAGATATGAGCAGGTATGAGCAGGTATGAGCAGGTATGAGCAGGTGTAGAGTCTGTAAATACGTTTAGTACCTTCATCCAGGCTTTCATTGGCAGGTATTTATATAAATCTGTTTCTGTGATGGGAGGCTTATGCAAGGCATGAATGAATGAGGGAAGCGAAAGGGGGTGTCCTGACACAGGGGAGGAGATAGTGGGGGGTGTGCTTACGGGGGGGAGGCAGGATGCTCACACGAGGCAGGTAGGGGTTCTCGGGGTCGTCAAAGGCCTTGCGAATAATGTACTTCTCAATGCGCCCCTCCTTGGGCTTGATCTGCACGTGATGGGGAGAGACAAGGGGAAGGGGAGGGACGGGAGAACGGAGGGAAAGGGGGGAGAGGGATGGACGGAGGCAGGTAGGGGTTCTTGAGGTCGTCAATGCGCCCCTCCTTGGGCTTGATCTGCGCGTGATGTGGAGAGAAAGGGAAGGACGGACGGAAAGGAAGAGGGAGGGGAGGGAGGGAAAGACAGGCAGGCCTCCATCAGGGTAACGGAATAACTCTATATTGAGGAACGGTAACCTTAGGAAGAATCACACTATCTTTGGCTCATGGTGGCATTCAGGAACTCCTTGTCGCGGAACGGAACGGAACACGAGCCTTTATCACGGAAGGGACGGCTGTAAATCAAGGAAGAGCACGAAAATAAACAGACTGTACAACACAACAAGCGTACCATCTTGGCTTCAGGGTCGATGCTCATGGACTCCTTGTCCAGGAAGGGCAGGCAGGTCTCCATCAGGGAAAGGCAATAACTCAATAGAGTACCAACAAGCGAACGGACAGACTGCAAACTAGGAACCCACCATCTTGGCTTCGGGGTCAATGCTCATGGCGACCTTCAGGAACTCCTTGTCGGAGAACTCCCTACCATGACACGGCACTCTCGCCTCTGCCATCCCACCCTTCCTCCCACACATACCATCTTGGCCTCAGGATCAATGCTCATGGCCACCTCCAGAAACTCCTTGCCCAGGAACGGCACTCGCGCCTCCAGCCAGGCCCCATGGGGTGATGCCATGGCCAACTTTCTAAGGCAGTGAGAGGAGGAAAAGCGACAGACTGAACACTGACATGACAACGTACCATCTCGATGCTCATGGCCACCTCCAGGAACTCCTTGTCCAGGAACGGCACTCGTGCCTCCAGCCAGGCCCCATGGGGTGATGTTGTGGCCAACGTACCATCTAAGGCAGTCACAGGAGTTGAACGCTCTCAACGTACCATCTTTGCTTCGGGGTCGATGCTCATGGCCACCTCCAGGAACTCCTTGTCGGAGAACTCCCTACCATGACACGGCACTCTCGCCTCTGCCATCCCACCCTTCCTCCCACACATACCATCTTGGCTTCAGGATCAATGCTCATGGCCACCTCGAGGAACTCCTTGTC